AATCGTGCATTCCCGTGCAAGGTGCCCTGATTCGCCACAGCGGTAACAGTTGACTTCACTTGTCTTGCTGCAGTTGATGGCTACATGACCAGTTTCACCACACCTAAAATAAATAAAAAATTTCACAATGGTGTTCAGAAAATGTAAAACTGTACTAAAGAAATAGTCATTGCACCCTGGGCTGGTGTGGCTCAGGGGATGAGTGTTGACCTATGAACTAGGAGGTCAGGATTCAATTCCCAGTCAGGGCACATGCCCAGGTTGTGGACTCAGTACCCAGTTTGGGGCTTGCAGGAGGCAGCTGATCAATGATTTTCTCGCCGAAACAGGTTTGGCTCAATGGATAGAGCGTCGGCTTGGAGACTAAAGGGTCCCGGGTTTGATTCCGGTCAAGGGCATGTACCTTGGTTGCGGGCACATCCCCAGTGTGGGGTGTGCAAAAGACAGCTGATCGATGACTCTCTCATTGACGTTTCTGACTATCTATCTCCCTTCCTTTCTGTACAAAATCAATAAAATATATATATATATATTTTAAAAACGATTCTCTCTCATAATTGATGTTTCTATATCTCTCCTCCCTTCCTCTCTGAAATACATAAAATAAAGTCATTGCAGAACAAAATGCAATGACAAATGAATCAACATATTTTTGTTTTCAGGACACTAAATCTTATCATTAACCCCTAATCTAAAATCAAGAAGGAATTAGATAACAAAGCTACTCAATTGTGTAGCAAAGCCACAAAATTAAAATGTTTACCAAAAGGTATAAACCAACATGAAAACCAAAAAAACAGGCCAAGATGTTATTTCTTTATGCAAAATAACTTCTAAGATTTCACAGGTATGTACATCTCAAAGCTTTTACCCTTCTTATTTTTAAACACTGAACTTATTCACAAGGTCATTCCATTTATGTTATGTCTAAAACAGTATCTGCAATGAGCATTTCCAGCAGCAACATTCTAACTTACCTATAGCACTTCACTTTGGTGCAGTCTTTTTGAATATGTCCAAATTCTCCACAAGAATAGCACTTCTGCTCATCTGCATGGTCACAGTCACGAGCCAGATGGCCTGGTTTGCCACAGTTGTAGCAGCATTGCTCTCGCTCTCTCTTGGGCTCCTTGCAGTCCTTGGCAATGTGGCCACCTCTACCGCAGTTATAGCAGGCTTCAACAATAAGAAAAAGAAGCAGACCAAGACTATAAAACCTTTACAAAATGTTGCTATGTTTTAACTCATACAATAGGAAACCTCAAGAGTGGAAAATCTTTCCAATGCATTGTGCATGCTCACCTCTCCAAGTTCTAAAGAATATAAGAAGTGTTAAATACTTACCATCCTCCTGAAGATCACAATCCTTGGCAAGGTGACCAGACTCACCACAGCGATAACAGATGTCTGGGAGAGATGAGGAAACAAACTGGAAACCTATTTTGGGTAGAAACAAACAAAAACAAAAATTTTAACGAATTAGACCAGTCTTGATACTAATGAATATTCTAGTACTCCAAAAATTTTTATTCGACAAAAATACCTCTATCCGAGGTAAAACCACCTCTGCCACGGCTTCTCATTCCACGACCACGGCCTCCACCAGTAGGGCATTCGCGGGCCCAGTGGCCAGATCGTCCACACTTGAAGCACTCATTGCTGCTCATGGCTGCAGTTTAGATCTTCAAAATATTAAAAATAAGAACATTTGACCACGTGAAATTATTTTTAGCTTTTATTCCCCTTTCAGTGTGTTTTTGGATAACTATTCTGGGGGGAAAGCCAAAAAATATTGCTTAGAAAAACAACCACACAACTATATGCTTAGGTATTATACACCTAATTATGAAATACATTAAAAGCGAATAAAGTAAAACATTATATATTCTAATAAAACTCGATTGTTAAAAAAAAATAGGATTATGCAATTTTCAGTATACCAACGAACACTCATTAAACAATTAGTAATACCTCTTTCCAGGTCCAACTTAATGGACACATCTTCATGATTATAAGCCAGTAAACTTTATTTTGGGCAAATGGAAGTCATTTACTGGTAATAAAATTAGAATAACCCAAACCAATGAAGTTGTAGTGTAGATTCTGCGAGGAATAGGTAAAGAAAAATAATTTCTCTCCATAACCTTAGCAACTACCTGATTGAGTCTTCAGAGCAGATAAAATGCAGGACATATATTTTCTCTATAGAGGGTACAGTATGTTAAAAATATTAGAACAGCCCAGTTGATGTGCTCAGTGGTTGAGTCACCTATGAACCAGGAGTTCACGGTTCGTTTCCAAGATTCCAAGTCAGGGCACATGTCCAGGTTGAGAGCTTGACCCAAAGATGGGGGCCTGTAGGTGGCAGCTGATCAATGATTCGCTCTCATTATTGATGTATCTATCTCTCCCTCCTCTCTGAAATATATATATATATGTATATATATGTATACACACATATATACATATATACACATATATACATATGAAAAACAACAAAGAAGTAAACCAACATGCTGATATCATCTAAAGAACTGGGACCACTTATATTTTTTCTATTTTCAAATTTTTCTGTAATTTTGTATTTAAAGCAAAACTCCTACCAAAGCAAGTGGATTTTATACTTTTTATATAACAATCTAAAAATAAACAGGCTATTCCTGGAAGAAATGGAATGTTGCAGGACAAATTCCTAGTATAGTGGCTTTTAAAAAAGGAACTAGCTAAAAATAATGTAACCTTTATATTGCCATATTTCCATATCTAAACATTTTACCCTTGATTCCAGTGTCAAGCAATGGCACACCAAGTTTTTTAAATACCCTCTCAAAGCCAAGCATAATTAGCACCATGACCTAGCAAAACATACTGTTTCAATTAAAATGGACAGGATGGTGGAATCATCCAAACACATAAAAGCACCAAGTCAGTACATGGTGCATAAATGACTCATCAAATTGTAGAGAATCTAGTGACCAAAAATTTAAGCTAATGTTGAGTTACAAAAGCTTCCATTGTCATTTTTTTAAAAATCAGTGTCTACTTATCCTAACTTTCTGCAATCAGATTCAGCATAAAATTTCAGAGGAATCTTTCTACCAACGCTTGCCACTTGTCATTATTAAAAAATCACACAATCTTCGTACTTGTCTCAGATACATAATGTACATTTCTAGTCAGAAGAAACCAGCCAGTGAAGATTAAAAATGTATTTTTGCAAAATTTGAGATTACATTTGCTTTCTTATACTGGTGTCAATCTAAATCATGTAAAGTAATAATTTCCACTTGAAAGAACAGTCAGAATGAAAAAATGAATGTCACATAAAAATGATCACAAAAAAAATGGTACTTCATCCTCCCCTTATTCCTATTTTCTTCATTTTGCAGTTTACAAAATGAACCAGTTTATAATCTCCAATTTATAGTCAGACCAATAAGCACATTTACCTATTGCTCTCAATGAGTTCCTTGCACAGAAACAATCACTACCTTATTATACAAGGTAATCCAGGAAATTTGAAATTTCCCAAGTATTTTAAAATGTAATATTTAAACAAGATATTTTCTTTTAGAAAACATGACAATTCAACATGCATTTTTAAAATTAAAGAAATGGCCCAGCTGGCGTGGCTCGGTGGTTGAGTCAACCTGTGAATCAGAAGGTCACAGTTCAATTCCTGGTCAAGGCAAATACACAAATTGAAGGCTCCATCCCTAGTTTAGGTGGGCAGGAAGGAGGCAGCTGATCAATGATTCTCTCTCATCATTGATGTTTCTCTCTCTCCGTCTCTTCCCTTCCTCTGACATCAATAATAAAAATATATATATATATATATTTTTAAAAAACTGTTTAAAACTAAAGAAAAGATAGTTTGAGCAATCCCCACTTTAGACTGTTGCTTTAAAATAATGTTTATTTCACAATAGTGAAGTACAAATAAAACATGGTATAATGAATCATCAGATTTTTATCAATGGAATAAAGTCAGTAGTTAAAATTTTAGGTTTATGGGGGGGTAAGAGGAAAAAAATAAAAACCTTAGGTTTTCTACACAGAAATATTAAAATTAAGCTACTCGCCGAAACCGGTTTGGCTCAATGGATAGAGCGTCGGCTTGGGGACTGAAGGGTCCCGGTTCGATTCCGATCAAGGGCACGTACTTTGGTTGCGGGCATATCCCCAGTAGGGGGTGTGCAAGAGGCAGCTGATCCATGACTCTCATCAATGTTTCTAACTCTCTCCCTTCCTCTGTACAAAATCAATAAAATATATTTTTAAAAATTAAGCTACTCAAGAACCGATTAACCTATATGTACATTTTTCATGAACTCTTTTCTTCTTCTCACTCATGGGACCCAGATCCAGAATGAATTGAGAAAAAAGAAATGACATGAAAAGAAGTATTTTGGAGAGCAGACAATTAGTTAAAATAACAAGCTAAAATAACACTTTCAGATGAACAAAACACTCTACTTCCTCCTGCCCTACTTCCTAATTGAAAGTTGGTCATAATGTGATTTCTCTATGAACTACAATTTTACAAAAAGCAGTATTTCTCCAATTAGATTGCAATTAAACTATTTTGCAAAACAGACATGCACAGTTCAGTGGCAAAGGCAGAACTTTACACATTGAAACTAGTAGTTTTAGATGTTTGTGTTACCATCAACAAATTTTATTCTCACGTAAATTAAGGTTTAAGAAAAGCTCCCTACCCAGTTTGGCTCAGTGGATAGAGCACCAGCCCAAGGACGTAAGGGTCCCAGGTCTGATTCCTGGTCAAAGGCACACGCCTGGGTTGTGGGCTTGATCCCCAGTAGGGGGCATGCAGGAGGCAGTCAAGCAATGATTCTCTCTTGTCATTGATGTTTCTATCTCTCTCCCCCTCCTTCTCTGAAACCAATAATATATTAAAAATAAACAAACCCACTAAATCTTAAAGGTAAAGAAAATATTAATTTCATTAATAACCCGAAGACCTATCATCAGTAGGGCACATCCCAGTGGGGCTCAGGTAATGTAATAAAATACAACCTGCCTTTTCTCCCCTTTGGCTCAATCACAGCCAATTAGTTGGTCTACATTTCCATTCAGCCCCTTGTTGATAGATTTATCTTCCTTACTTAGTAACATTAAATAGATTCCTAATGTGTTTTAGAGCAGCAGCCACCAACCTTTCAGACCTCAAGACCACCAGTGGTCCTCAGACCACTAGTTGGTGACCAGTTTAGAGGCATGCTGCTAATCTTGGGGGCAGGGGAAGGGAGAGATTCCTATCCTAATCATCATATACAAATTGCATTTAGCCAAGAGGTCTTTAAAGAATTTCATGCTATTCCTTAGGAAAACTAGAGGCAGGAAAGTAAGACAGAACTGAGACTTCAGGCTTCGTGATTCTCAAGGCCTGACGGCTCTTGGCTAGAATTTTGCTGCACTGTCCTGCCTCTGCCCCCTCCACCTGTCACAACCTTTTCCAACCTGCATGGGCCAACTTAAATGCCAACTCTATAAAAAAAATCTGACATCTCCCAGCCTGGAACTCTCCTTCCTATTAAGACCTAGGACAGTTTGTTAATATCTGTCTGATGGCACTACTATATTTGCCTTTTATCACATTCCTTTAGGGCAGAGACCAAGTAATTCATCATTGAATTGTCACAACACCCATGGTTAACCTTTAGTAATTATAACTCAATATTTTAACTGCTTTTGCAGTGTGTGAGTGAGAAAGGCCTAACAGTCATTTGCTAAGTGAAACAAATTGTGTTTCTTGTTTAGACCCAATCCGAGTACTGACAATACCTAAATTTTTGCTATCAAGAGTCACTGTACCAATTTAAAGCAGCGATTTTCAACCAATGGCACATGTACTGCATGTTTTAAAAATTCTCAGGGAATAGCCGAAACCGGTTTGGCTCAATGGATAGAGCGTCAGCCTGCGGACTGAAGGGTCCCAGGTTTGATTCCGGTCAAGGGCATGTAACATGGTTGCGGGCACATCCCCAGTAGGGGATGTGCAAGAGGCAGCTGATCGATGATTCTCTCTCATCGATGTTTCTAACTCTCTATCCCTCTCTCTTCCTCTCTGTAAAAAAATCAATAAAATATTTTAAAAATTTAAATAAAAATTCTCAGGGAATAGCTGTTTGGCTCAGTGGATAGAGCTTCAGCTTGGGGACTGAGGGGTCCAGGGTTTAATTCCATCAAGGGCACATGCCTGGGATTTGGGATCGACCCCCAATAGAGGGGGTGCAGGAGACAGCCAATCAATGATTCTTATCATTGATGTTTCTCTCCCTCTCCTTTCCTCTCTGAAATCAATAAAAAATATAAAAATTCTGCCAAGACCAGTTTGGCTCAATGGATAGAGCGTCGGCTTGGGGACTGAAGGGTTCCGGGTTCGATTCTGGTCAAGGGCATGTACCTTGGTTGCGGGCATATCCCCAGTAGGGGGTGTGCAAGAGGCAGCTGATCAATGACTCTCTCTCATTGATGTTTCTAACTATCTCTCTCCCTTCCTCTCTGTACAAAATCAATAAAATATATTTTGGAAATAAATAAATAATTAAATAAATAAATAAATAAAAATAAAAATTCTTAGGATTCGCCAGCTAAAAAATTGCTGGTTTAAAGAAACAATGTCTTTTCAATTAGATATCCATTAAGGATAGACTACCACCACTCTAAACTCAAGAATATTTCAGACTATCTAATAAAATCTCCTGTGTTAACAGAAACTTTTCACTCCAGGTTACTAAAAAAAAAGTTAGCAGCCAAACCAGGACTCCTAACTTGCCACCCAGACTCTTCCAAGAATTCACATCCTCGGTAATATTTTACAGAATGCTACAAAACACATCTACATACTAACTTACAAGATAAAATACTGTATTTTCACTGTTGTCAGCCAGTAGAATAGCATATATTTTCTCCCTTTTGCTGCTAAAAATCATAGCAGTATCTATACCAATGTATCCTTACACAGCAAGAATTGGAGACCATAGTTAACTCTGGTTTAACATATGACCCCGCTTAAGGATCTGCTTGCTCTGGTACCTCAGGCACTTGACCCCTTCTCCTGTACTTATTTGGAAAAGGATGATAAAACTGTTCTGTGATGAGAATTACTGCTTATTAGATTCTAAATTTTAAAAACTGCAAGGGTTTATATCCTCTGCTTAATTTTTCTGTTCCTTCCCCAATTAAGTTAGACTGCTTAAAAGTAGATAGAACTCAGTCTAACGACTATATAGCAGGCTTAGAGCAGGCTAACTCTGCATATATTCAACTCTCCCATTTCATCAAGTCTACTTTAAAAATGGAATGAAGAGAATTATAGCCCTAGCGGGTTTGGCTCACTGGATAGAGCTTCAGCCTGTGGAATGAAAGATCCTGGATTCGATTCCAGTCAAGGGCATATGCCTGGGTTGAGGGCTTGATCCACAGTAGGGGGGTGCAGGAGGCAGTCAATCAATGATTCTTTCTCATCATTGATGTTTCACTCTCTCCCTCTCTGAAAATCAATAAAAATATACTTTTTAAATTACTTGGGCTTAATGTGATTTAATCAGTTACACCCAACTTAAAAGAGAATTATAAATGACTTCATATTATCAGCAGATTACCTGTTTTCATTTTTGGGTGTCACATTTTCATGACACCTAAAGATGGTAAGAGCACAGGACAATCAGGCAACGGTACTATAGGCAGTCAAAATCCTGCTTGAAAAGATCTAAGATTCACTTAGTGTAAACTAAGAGATCTACAATATTTTACAGATTTTGCACTCATCTAAGCTTTAAGATTTAAATCCTAGAATTGGTATCAAAACACAAATGGTTATACTGATCTGTCTTCATTAATGTTACCGTTTCCCGGAAAACAAGACAGTGTCTTATATTAATTTTTGCTCCCAAAGATGCGCTAGATCTTATTTTCAGGGGATGTCTTATTTTTCCATGAAGAAGGATACGGTACACATTTATTGTTAAATGAAAATAAAGGAAATTTATTACCTGTATAGGGTACGGTAGTTGTCAACACAAACCAGACAAGCTGTGAATCCTACAGTATCAAGAATTTACTCATTTATTCAATGACAATCATGTCATCATCTTCTGGAACATCATAACAATCCAATTCCTGAATTTCCTGGTGAATTTCTTGTGACTCCATTTCTTTCAGAATCAGTGGACCAAATCTCTTGTTTAGCCTACGGGGGGCCTTATTTTTGGGGGATGCCTTATATTTCACTCAGAAGGAAACCTGTAAGTAGGTCTTATTTTCGGAGAATGTCTTATTTTCGAGGAAACACGGTAGTAATTGAACCATATTTTTGGTTCTAAGAACAAAGCCAGTAAACTACTTAAATCATAACAGTACATGCCCAAGACTAACAATGAGCTGAGTAACTCACTACATTAAAAAAAAAAAAAAAAAAAAAAAAAAAAAAGTAGCAAAAGGAAATTGTGTGTGGGGGATCTGGCTAGCTTTAATTTTTTTTATATGATTTTCCTAAAATAGCTATATATATTCACCTTAGGGTTATCCTTGACTCATCCAACATTGTTGACCTAAACTGCATTTAGACTATAGCAGAGCTTTAGCCCCATGAATGTACCCACTCATTTATTTTTTTTGGTACCCACTCATTTTTATGCTCTAATGATATCATAAATTCCAACTGGAACACTTCAGGTTATTAGCAAAATCAAACTACAGATGATAAACTGAAGGGAAGTTATATTGTATATTACCTGCATTCTGACCAGAATAATGGAGATCAGAGTACAATACTGGGAGCAATTCTATGTTCTTATCCTGGTTATTGCATTTACTGCATGACTTTGATTAATATTTACATACACTGCTGTCTGCCCCTCGTTAACCCGGAAGGGTTTTAAGATAAATATCTTCTATGAGTCAAAGGTTAATTAACATATTATCTATAATCCTCACAACCCTACAAAGTTATGTACTCTTGCTTCCATTTTACTGACAAAGAAACTGGAGATCTGAGACCAAGTGACTTACCCAAAGCCTTCTTAACTAAAAAGTTCTCAAGTCAGCATTTCAAGTCTTCTGCAGAGTCCTTTGCTAGGGTTAAGTGGTAATAAAGTACAGGAAAATGCTATCATAAGAATACAATTCACTCCCTACTTCAAAAATATTATACAGCATATTACTGCTGTATAGCAAGTAACTGTAAACACGTTAACTTAAATTTTAATGCAGTCATCTGTTCTATAGTTCTATACTTAAAATGTATTTCAAAACTCGTTTAAAAATTCACAGCCATAAATGAGTTTATTCACAGTATACAATGACACAGCTTTCCTGAATTTTAAGCCAAGACAGATTTTCTTAACCTTCAAGGTATAACTTAAAGAGTACAACCAGGGACCCAAAGACTGGCAACCGGATTTTTTTTTTTTTTTAATTTATCGATTTCAAAAAGAGAGAAGTTAATTTTTTGTCCCACTTATTTATGCATTCATTGGTTGATACTTGTATGTGCTCTGACCGGATATCAAACCCACAACCTTGCTTATTGGGATGATGCTCTAACCAACCTACTACCCAGCCAGGGCTTGCGGCAACCTGATTTCACCCATTAAGGCTCTAATTTGCAATTATGAACGACACCAGGTAATCACTGCACCATACTCTCATACTCCTAATTAACAGACTCCACTGGCTTACAACTTGAATTTTGGTGGCCACAAGCTCTCATTTTATTCCAGAAGCTTTTTACTTACAACACGAAAAGGGTGTTTACTCCAGTCTTACTGCAACAGCATCTGACACTGCCAGAATAGTTCTATTAAGTGAGACGGTAGAGAAAGAGTGTTCTCCACATAGCAGGCCAAGATGCCTTGGCATCAGTCTCCTGGCTCTCCACTTACTGTCAGGAGGCCAAAAAGAGGAAAGGAGCCAATATTAAAAAACAAAAAAAACCAACAACAACAACAACAAAAAAACACCCTCTCACTCTTGCAGGGGAAAAAAAGCAAAAGCAAATCTCTTTTGTGGTCAAGTGTTTAACAGACCTATATTTCCAATTACAGGAACACCTCATATACATTGTAGGTTTGGTTTGAGATCACAGCAATAAATCTTTTAATCTTTTTGCTGGAGGGTCTTGTTTTCTTTTAATATATATGTTTGTTTTTTATTGATTTCAGAGAGGAAGGGAGAGAGAGAGAAAAACATCAATTATGAGACTCACTGAAAGGCTGCCTCCTGCATGCCCCCCACTGGGGATGGAGCCCACAAGCCCGGCATGTGCCCTTGACTAGAAATCTAACCTGGGACCCTTCAGTCCGCAGGCCAATGCAATGCTCTATCCACTGAGCCAAACGAACCATAACCGGTCTTATTTTCAATTTGTAAAAATCGTTAACATCTGCTAGAATAAGGCGACATGCCATAAAATGAGGTACGCCTGAGGTTGAATTGTGGCTATTGCTTGTAAGCACTGATTTGGTACCTTCTCATGTACATACCACATATTATTAGATTTTAAAAGATGAAGAGTCATAATATCACAATACAAAACCATTTATGATATCTTAAAAAATATATCACTCTGCCTGTTCCAGGTATTCAAATGCTGGTGTAATAATTGACCCTTGATTTTCCACCGGTTTGGCTCATACGGTTAGCTTTTTAAAAAATACTATTGCCAAGAGTTGCAATTTAGAAAGAAAAATTCTTTTTCCAGCTCTTGGGATCTATAATAAGTTACTTCTTTTATATTCCAGCACAGAGCTCCTTGTAAGCAAGAATCAGGTTCAACAAGCTAAAAACAGCATGCACCTATGTATGTGGCATTTTGTAGGTGTTTCATTAAGCCATGATCAGTGATTTTTAAAGAATTATTTGAAAATAATTGCTTGGGAGGGGGGCTAAGAGGTAGAACTTCGTTTCATACATTTTTTTAAAACCCTCAAATCCTAACTTGCAATTTATGGTGCTTAAGCAAAAAAGGAACAAAGCTGTTGATTTAACTGATTAAAGAGAAAGTGAGGCAGAAATTAACTGATTATGTTTCTCTCTAAAACTGGGATATATAACAGGGGGAAAAAGGATTTTTAAAAACTTTAAATTTAGGGGCAAGACGATGTCATTAATCCTTCTTCACCTTAAAAGAAATCAAAAAAATGAAAACAGACATTTACACACTGTCTGAAGTCACAATGGGCCACGTTCTCTTTTCCTAAGACCCCCGCTGCCCCCGTGAACAGATGTCACTTCCTTGGAAACGCAGTGTGTCTGAGGCCACGTGGCTAACATGTGGCAACAAGCAAAAATCCGTACCCACGATAAAATTAACATGAGGACCCAAATGTGGGCGATGATGCCTTTCTAAAATAGGTTTTTCACATTTGGAAAAATCTAGATGGGAGGCTGGCTAATTAACCACGTCTCACTTTTAAACAGTCACGGTTTAATTAATCCAATAAATGATGCTAGGATTTTGGAGGTTTGGCGATTTGTTCCCCTTTGATAACGAGACTTCTTTTCTTCTTCTTTAAGGGCCTTCTAACTTAAAATAGTGTCGATTCATGAAAGCGAGCCTTAACTGCCCCTTTTCGAATGGTAATGTGAGACAAGTAAAAAATTAACGCTAGACTATAAAAATTCAAGAGTCGGGAAGCTATCAAGTATGGAGAGTATAATTCCAGACGTCCAGGCCTTTCCAGCGGAGTGTTGCCACCCTAAAACGCAAGAACTTCAGGGCCCCTTTCCTAGGCCCATCCCGAACCCTTGGCACATGGCCCGCCAGCCCATTACACCAGCACATGGCCTGCATTAAGCACCCAACCCCATCCCCCTCCACCCGCGCCGAGGGCCTTTTCCCACCACAAGGCCTCCTTTCAGCAAGTTCCCGCCAAAAACGCCCCTCCGCCCCGCGTTCCGAGACCCTCGAAGTCTCGGAGCCTCAGTCCCAAGAGCGCACGAGCCAAGGCCTCATCCGCCGTAAAGGCTTAGGGCCTGGGGCGCGGCCTGGGCCCTGAGAGAGGCCAGGACGCGCGGGGACCCCGCTTCCCGGGACGGAAGGGAGGCCGGGAGGGTACCCCCGACTGCAGGAGGCCGGAAACTCGGCCCGGAGACGGCGGTGGCAGCCGAGTTTCCCGCCTGACGCAGCAGCGGAAAAGGCTCTCGAGTGAGGCCGCCATCGCCGCCTCACCGCTCCCTGCCCTCTTCCCGTCCGCTTCGGACACGGGCCCGCCGCGCGCGGTTTTCCCCTTCCCCTCGCTCCCGATCCTCACCTTCCCGCGTCAGGGCAGGCCCGCGGCGCCGGAGGACGAGAGGCAGGCCGAGGTGAGCAGCTCGCCAGGCAGCGGCTGTTTATTTTCAGGAGGGTCCTTGCCTGCGCCACACGCTGGTCTGCACACGGCCCCACACACGCCGCTGCGCACGGCCCTCCGCCGCCTCGCCCACGCGGCCAATCAGTGCGCACGGCTCGGGCGGCCAATCAGAGCCTCCCGCCGGGGAGACAGGCCGGCCTCGGGGCGGGAGGCGGCCGCCGCGCGGGGCTGTTATCTTCCGCGCTCGTCGGTCAGTTCTTCTCGCGGGCGCGCGGGCGCGGCCCGTATTTCTCGGCTTTCCAGTCAGCGGCCCCTCTCGCGGTTTTCTCCCTTATTCCACGCCCCGCCGGGCCGGGAGGAGGGGGACAGGCCTGTGCGGCCCGCCCTCGGCGCTCTCTACCCCCTTAGCTCGCGAGGAGGGAGGCCAGGGAACGGGTCTGTGATGAGCGGGGGACCGAGACAAACGCCTTCCCCTTCTTGGGCTCCGAAAAAGAGGGTCGGCCCTTAGACCCTTCCTTGCCTTGGCCGCGCTTTCAGAGGCAGGCCCCGATTCTTGGTACATCGGTTTGGGGGGGATTGTTGGGAGGAGGGGGGAGAAAGTGGTCTGTCATGTCACAGAGGCTGGGGCTGAAGGCCGCAGGCCCTGAAATGTGTTTTAGGGTTTGTGTGAACCCGGGCAGAGCCCGGAAGAACTGCCTGCTCTCACCCTATAGGACCCATATGCCCGCCCCAAAATAAGTGGCTGGTGAGGGAAAGGCGCCAGCCTTGGGGAAGGTGTGAAGATGATGAAAGGATGGCGCTGAGACTTAACTGAACTTCCAACAAACCTTGTGCCCGGTTTAGAAACTTTATGATCATCCCCTGCGACCTAAAGGTGGAATAGTGAGTGCTAGGGGATCCATCTAGCCCATGCTTTCACAATCAGAATTGATGTGCCTTTAGATTGGTGTTTTCTCCGAAAGAGATTGCATGTATACACCGAGTGGCCAGGTTATTATGATCTCTGAACGCATAATAATCTGGCCACTCAGTGTATATCCTATATAATAAAAGGCTAATATGCAAATTGTGCCCTGGATTAGGAGTTTGACCAGCAGGCAGGCCGGCCAACCGCCCATGTCCCTTAACCCCTGGCCAGTTTGGCCAGATCCTCCCATGCATGAATTCATGCATGGGCCTTTAATATCTATATATCTGCTTTGAGAGATCATAATAATCTGGCCACTCATTATATATGTTCATAGATACTGTTATGACATCAACTTAAGTTGTTCAATGCAAACTAAAGAATTGCATAATTTTCCATAATTTTCATGTAATGAAAAAGAAAGGAAGGCCCAGCCTGTGTCTCCCAGTGGTTTGACATCAACCTACAAACCAGGAGGTCACATGCCAGGGTAGTGGGCTCTATCCGAAGTGGGGCATGCAGGAGGCATCCCATGATGATTCTCATCATTGATGTTTCTCTCCTTGCTTCCTCTCTGAAATAAATAAAAATATATTAAAAAAAAAAAAAAGAACAACAATGAAGTGACATCTCCAGTCTCTTGAACTTTAGAAGGTCCTGCAATTACTGTAGTCTCTCATACAGACTTAAAAGGCAGCTTGAGATTAGTATGCAACCCATGTTGTTGGCTGGTATATCCCAGCAATGTCCATTTTATCCTTTATTGACTGTCTTATTCTTCACCCTGGTTTCAACTCATTTAATCCTTCCAATCTTAAGGTAGTGTGACTTGTTAAATCATGTCTGTGAAGAGGCAGTAAAGTAGCTAAGAGCATAGATATTAAGGGTCAGATATTAAATCACTAGGTTCAAATCACTAGGGCTTACTTAGTCATTGTAAATCATTTAGCAGATTGTCAACATAAAGAGGGAATGGACGATTTCATTTAAAAAAATATTTTTAGGGCCTGAGCTGGTGGGGGCTGCCCAAGGCTGGGATCTGCCAGCTGCCTACCCCTCTCTCAGCCCTGGCCTTTGGGAATCAGCCAGCACAACTATTCTTCCTTGCAGATCTCTGTGGAAACAAGCTCTGAGAGGAGTCAGGATTGCCTCACCATGGAGGGGAAGCTGAGCTTGGCCAACACCCAGTTCGCGTTGGACCTCTTCCACATCCTGAAGGACACCAATCCCTCTGGGAACCTCTTCTTCTCCCCCATGAGCATTTCCTCAGCGCTGGCCATGGTCTTTCTGGGGACCAGAGGCACCACCGCAGCACAGATGTCCAAGACTCTTCACTTTGATGGGGTTAAGGAGATCCATTCCAGTTTTCAGAGTCTGAATGCTGATATCTACAAGCACGGAGCTCCCTACACTCTGAAGCTTGCTAATAGATTATATGGAGAGAAAAACTGTGGGTTCCTCCCTGAGTTCTTGACTTCAACCCAGAAAATGTATGGAGCTGAACTGGGCAGAGTAGATTTTCAGCGAGTCTCTGAAGATGCAAGAAAGGTGATAAACGAGTGGGTCAAAGGGCAGACTGACGGGAAAATTCCAGAATTGTTGGCTGTAGGCATGGTTGATAATATGACTAAACTTGTGCTAGTTAATGCCGTCTATTTCAAAGGAAACTGGCAGGAAAAATTCGTTAAAATGGTCACAATCGATATACCTTTCAGATTGAATAAGAGAACGACAAAAACAGTGAAAATGATGTATCAGAAGAGCAAATTCCCATTTGGCTACATTCAGGACCTTAAGTGCCGGGTGCTGGAGCTGCCTTACGAGGGTGAGCTCAGCATGATCATCCTGCTGCCAGATGACATCGAGGAGGAGGGTCTGAAGAAGATCGAAGATCAATTGACCTTAGAAAAACTGCATGAGTGGACCAAACCTGAGAATCTGACTTCCTTTGATGTCAACGTCCACCTACCCAGGTTCAAGCTGGAAGAGAGCTACAACCTCAACTTTAACCTGGCCAGCCTGGGTATAGAGGATCTCTTTACTAGCAAGGCTGATCTGTCTGGCATGTCAAAAGCCAGAGATCTTTTTATATCAAAAATTGTCCACAAGTCTTTTGTGGAAGTAGATGAGGAGGGCACAGAGGCAGCAGCTGCCACCTTCTGCATGCTTATGCCAGAAGAAAATTTTATGGCCGACCATCCATTTATTTTTTTAATTCGACACAATCCCTCAACTAACATCCTGTTCTTAGGCAGAGTTTCTTCTCCGTAGAGACTGTGGAAATTCAAGGCCAACCTCAGAACTTTGTCAGTGGCCCTTTCAATGGTGATAGTTTTCATATATCTTCCACAACAAATCTACCATCCCAAAACAAATCTCTAACTTCCTTTGTAATGTCAGCTCTGTTGACTGTTTACACGCATTAACTTTGGCATAAGTATATATTTTCCTTTCTTTATATTGAAAAATTCAGTGATTGCTTTTGAATGCACCAAGCAGATATGTAGATTCTTGGCAGTATAGTAAACTAAGAAACTGCTGTAAAAATAAATAAATAAAGTTTTAAGTTGAAGTCTTAAGACCTCTGCTCTTTTATTATTTTTTATTTTTTAAAATATATTTTATTGCCGAAACTTGTTTGGCTTAGTGGATAGAGCATCAGCCTGCGGACTGAAAGGTCCCGAGTTCGATTCAGTCAAGGGCATGTAGTACCTTGGTTGTGGGCACATCCCCAGTAAGAGGTGTGCAAGAGGCAGCTGATAGATGTCTCTCTCTCACTGATGTTTCTAACTCTCTATCCTTCTCCCTTCCTCTCTGTAAAAAATCAATAAAGTATATATATATATATAAAATTTATTTTTTACAGAGAGAGAGAGAGAGCTAGAAACATCGATTTAATTTACATAGCTTTATAGACTTCCCCTCCCTGACTGATTAATGTTTATAATATCTTGAGATAAGGAATAGTATAATTGCAGACATTTTAGTAGTGCTTTCCAAAGTGAGTTAGTGTAATGCGTCAAAGATTCAGAAATAACCAAAACAAAACCAAAGAGTCACTGAAGTAGTAATTGGTAAAAATTTATGGTGCACATGCCAAAAAGACAGTTTATAGACTAGGGGCACTCAAATGAGCTGTAGGAGTTTACCATTAGAAAGCAGCTCATGCAGTGAGAAAGTAGTGTTTTTGCAGTGATTGGTAATTAAGCTAAATCAATGACTAAGCTGGTTTTATCTGCTCAGGGAATCTTCAACGTTGGTCTCTGCCTTTGATTTTAACAAGTGCAAGAGGCTAGGTAGGAAGTCCACCTTGGGTGCATCCATGCCATACTAGGAAAACAAGTTAAAATTGTCTCAAGAAACACAATATTTCCTGGCTTAATTTTTGTTTACAATTCCAACCATAGAGCTACATAAAATGTTTGCCATTCAAGAATGAATGTTCCTAATATATATATTTAATGAGGGTGACTGTGAAATAGTGTTCTATAGGATTTAAAAGATTTAAGTAGAAGGAATGGAAATGTAATCTTTGCTGCTTGGCTTTGGGAGTAGTAATAGCAGATGGCTCTTCTCTACCTGCCATCCAGCTTTCCATAATGACTATTATTATTTTTAAATATTTTATTGGTTTCAGAGAGGAAGGAAGAAGAAGAGAGAGACAGAAACATCCACGATGAGAGAGAATCATAGATCGGCTGCCTCCTGCAAGTCCCCCAATAGGGATAGAGGCCACAACCTAGGCATGTGCCCTTGATTGGAATCGAACCTGGGACCCTTCAGTTCACAGACAAATGCTCTATCCACTGACCCACACCAGCTGGGGTCTTAATGACATTTTTTTTTTCAATAATGATTATTATTATTAGAACCAAACTGATCATGAGGCAGTCTGACTATCTCCAGAGAAGATACGATGAAATTTAACTCCATTTACTCATGCTGCCTGGATATGTCTTTGGGTACATCTATTCACAGAGACGTTTAAAAATAAGAAAGAAAAAAAAGCCAAAACCGGTTTGGCTCAGTGGATAGAGTGTCAGCCTGTGAACTGAGGGGTCCCGGGTTCAATTCCGGTCAAGGGCATGTACCTTGGTTGCGGGCACAGCCCCAGTGGGAGTTGTGCAGGAGGTAGCTGATCAATGATTCTCTCTCAACGATGTTTCTAACTCTCTATCCCTCTCCTTTATTCTCTGTAAAAAATCAATAAAATAAAATTAAGAAATTAAAAAAAGAAAACTCATCGTTTAAGAAAAACAAAAAACACCAATCCACTAAAAAGATAAACTGCCGACTGTATTTGAAGAAAAATTCCTGTTATATTTTCCTCCTCTGTAAATTTGTTTTTTTTTTGTTTTGTTTTGTTTTTTTAAATATATTTTATTGATTTTTTACAGAGTGGAGGAGGGATAGAGAGCTAGAAACGTCGATGAGAGAAACATCGACCAGCTGCCTCTTGTACACCCCCTACTGGGGATGTGCCCGCAACTAAGGTACATGCCCTTGACCAGAATCAAACCCGGGACCTTTCAGTCCACAGGCTGACGCTCTATCCACTGAGCCAAACCGGTTTTGGCAAATTTGGGTTTTTAAAAAATATATTTTTATTGATTTCAGACAGGAAGGGAGAGTGAGATAGAGAGAAGCATCAACGATGGGAGAGAATCATTGATCTGCTGCCTCCTGGACAACCCACACTGGGAGTCGAGCCCGAAACCCAGGCATGTGCCCTTGATGGGAATTGAACCTAGGACCTTTCAGTCCATAGGCCAACGCTCTATGCACTGAGCCAAACTGGCTAGGAATAAATGTGTTTTATCCCTCTTCTCCCTTCATGTTCAGTATTACCCAGTTATTGTGCTCAACACTGTAGTGATTACAAAGGTAACTAGTTAAGTCACAAACCTTGCCCGTAATCTTGTAGGATGACAAGGGCCATAAAAAAGTATTAAGAGGACCAACTAAAATGCTATGATTCAGCATGATTCAGGATTTCTTAAAATTAGTACCAGTTGAGAGCAATACTTGCCAACTCTTAATTTCTGCTAAAGAGCTCAGCTGCATAGTATATGCCTTACCTTCTGCTGATAAAAGGAAAGGAAATGGTATATATCCTTTAAAACCCTTCCATGTCTTATCTCAGCCAGCAGGAAAATAGCCTTTGTGACTTGGAATGTTTGCAGCTAAGGTTAAGGAAAATAAATTGCTTCCACCTACCCTGCCCACTTCTGAAGCAGAAACATAGTTTACTAAGCTAAATCCTGAAATAGGCATCAGTTATAGTAATAGTTAATAGTATAAAGTTTTATAACAGTGCCTAGCATAGAGTAATATCTACTAAAGTGTTAACCATTATGATTGTTATTACTTGTTGAGCACTTACTATATGCCAGACATTGTTTATAGCCTCTTTATTTTATTATTTTATTTTTAAACATATTTTTTATTGATCTCAGAGAGGAAGGAAGATAGAACATCAATGATGAGAGAGAATCATTGATCAACTGCCACCTGCATGCCCCCTACTGGGGATCGAGCCCACAACCTGGGCATGTGTCCTGACCATGATGTCCTGGTTCATAGGTTGATGCTTAACCACTGAGCTACACCAGCCAGTCTGTAACCTTTTGATATGTTTTCACAAAATCCCCATGAGGAAAAAAGTCCAGAGGATTTAAGTAATCTGTTAAAGGTAATGAGTAAATAAATGACAGGACATGCTTCAAACAGAGGCAGAGTGCTTAAACACAATGCTCCTAGCGTCCCAGTAGTTACTGAGACCTAATCCTACAATTTCCCATTTGACTCGTTAAAATGATATGTAGGGAATGCTAACTAATAAGGAAAATGTAAAACACTGATTAATAACTTAGCATTCCACCCTGATCCATGTGGCTCAATTGAGCTTCGACCTATGAACTGGAGGATTGCAGGTTCGGTTCTGGTCAGGGTACATGCCCAGGTTTTGGCCCGAGAACTATTCTTAAAAAAAATAACTTAGCGCTCCATCAGTTGGCTTTGCCCTCTGTGACCTCAAATTGAAACTGTCTCTACTTCTGCAAACTAACTGGTAAGATAAAAACTTTATTTGCAAATAATTTTAAAATTTTAAAGTAAAACTACTCATTCTTAAAAGAAAACTACCCATTTATTTTTATTTATTTTGTCCTCACCCTAGAGAGAGTAAAGGGGAGGGAAGGAGAGAGTAGGGAGAGAGACATCTATTGATTAGCTTCCACAGGCGCCCTCATCTGGGTGGGGATCAAACCCGCAACTCAGGTACATGTCCTTGATAGGAATTGAAGCGAGCCAATGCTCTAACCACTGAGAAACTCCAGCTGGGAAGGTGAATTCATTCTTAAAAAGTAATTTCTTATTAAGCACCTACATTATTGAAACTTTGAAATAGGTAGGAATAGAAAAATAATGTGTTTAAATCATTTCCAAATACTATTTTGATGGGATGTCTTAAATTATTCTTTGAGACAGTATGATAAAGTGTACAATTTTATCATGTAGCTCTCATAATTTACAAAATAATGTAATTGGTTTTCCAATATTAAATTGACAACTCATATAATTGGGTGAATTAGAATCTAAGATCAAGAAGAATATTTAGTCTAATTGTTGTGGGGTGGAACCCTGGGTTCAAAATAAGACCACCAGAGGCTGATGATTTATTAAAAAAAGCAGGCAAAGATTTATTGAAGTATCTGGCCAGGACAGCCACAAGAGCACCACACGCAGGCGGACTCCTCACGACTGCGCTGCTTCAGGGGCAGGCAGTTCTTTTTAAAGGTTCTGAGAAGGAGAACCCCTATTTTGCAATAAACTGTTGTTTGGAATTTTCTGCTTTTCTTCCTAGATAAAATGTTGCTTTTTAGTTTGCTTTAGCCCGTTTGAAGAATGATGAAGATAAACTTAGCTGTCTGACCTTGTAGGCCAGAGACCAGATATGCCCACAATCTCAATACCATGCCAGGTGCACTTTTTCAATTGGATAGAACTGAATTGTTTTCAAGGCCAGCATCGAGATAACCACTAACTGCACATAGGGCTGGCTCTTTAATGAAAAAAAAGGAAGTTCTGCCTGTAGCCTTGCTTAGAATTTGAATTTATCCTCCCTAAGCCCATCGCGCAATGAACAAAGCAAGTCTCTCCAAACTCTCCCACTGCACCGGTCGACCACTCGGGAACTCTGCAGCAGTTCAAACCATAGGAATTTTCCTTTGTTCTAAATTCTAAATACTAAAGACTATATTCTAAAAACTGGGGTCAGCCTGTAGGGTCATTCCCAGCCACATCCTGATGGACATTGGAATGTGGCCCTATCTTACAGAAGCAGAACTCAGTGGTTAATCTCCAAAGGTTATGGTCCCAAGCACAGGAAAATTGCCTTAGCCTCCAGGTCTCCACCTGAAAGCTAAGATAAATAGCTTCTCCCCGCTTCCCCGTGTTTAATCAGGTGCAGGAGCCAAACTAGAAAGGTTAAAATTCAAACAGCAGTTTTTACCAAAGTATGGTTGCCACTATATTTCACTAATCTC